GAGAGAAACGGCATTTTTATGCAAACTCCACGTGATGATGTCACGATTGACGTCACTAATTTCAAACTCCTAACTTGAATATCAGTATTTTGTATTAATTTGCTTAATATAAATACTTTAATGAAGCTTTTAAAATAAATAAAAATTGAGATAAAGTAGACCCCCCTATAACACTGTTAATAATTCCGTGTTATATGAATTCCATGTTGTACGAGTCACTTAGATTTTACAAATACGTGTGTCGGGCTGTGAACGGCTCACGTATTTGTAAAATCTTAGTGACTCGTACAACATGGAATTCATATAACACGGAATTATCAACAGTGTTATAGGGGGTCTATTGTATAAGGCTCATTGCCTGCTAAATACAACTGGATAACCGAGCCAATGACATAGCCTGTTTCATTTGAAACTAGCTACATCCTTGGCTCGCTTATCCAGCTGTATTAAAGCCTCTTTACTACTGTACTACGAAACGTGTCTATAAACGTCATCGAAACGTCATTCATTTATGCAAATTTCATGTGTGACATCAAAGCTGACGTCCCCAAATTTTAACCTCCAATTTGCACATTGATCTTCTTTAATGGTTTTACACTTTAATGTCAGGTACACATGTACCGGTATACTTGGAACAGGCCCAACTGTTCAGGAGTGTACCCGGCTTAATAAAGATTTAATAATATAAATATTTTTGGGCTGTAATTTTCAGATTGCAGAGCTAAACATACCCATTGTCGTCCGTCCGTTCGTCCTTCCTTAATCTCGAGAATGGAGTTAGACAGATAAAAATCGAGACCGGATATGGCAAGCTTAGGGACAGGAGACTCCGATTAAACTATTAATATATAAGAAATTCCGGTCTGAACTGGCAGTCACGTAATTTAAAAAAAAAAAAAATTAAAAGCTGGTTAAAAATTGCATTCTGGCATTGTGACGTTACAATAATGTACATTCGATTTTTTTTTTTATATTTATCTTATTTTAGATGCACGTGTACTATATTCAAGTTAAATATTTCAGTGGGGAAAATTCGATAAATAGCACCTGTTGAATATTTTGTATGGCGAAAGAAAAGCACACAGTTCCAGCGACAAAAAATAAAATAAAATATAAAAAGAGAAAAGTAAATGCATTTCTCAGAAATGGCATGACGTCGCGAATAACAGAGAAAGGTGACAAGTCAAAAAGATAGTCTGATGCCATTTATCAATCATGACCCGATCGAGTTGGATATCTTGACATTTAGCGACTTTAGTGATTCGAGGTTATCCACTTTTTTATTTTTTTTTATTTTACTTTTATTTTCTATTCTTCGTGTTCTGTACAAACGAAAAATTCTGTTCACGTATCTGTTAGTTTTAATGAATATACGAAATTGTAAAAGATGCTTACGTACTGCTTAAATACTTCAAAACACTACAGAAGAGCGGAACATATAGGAACACACTTCTGATATTACAATGTGATTTTCTTATATTATTTACTATATTCCATCACCCAGGATTTATTCTGTCAGAAGTGAAAGAGTATATCGACGTGGAATATTATTTAAAGAAAATAAAATTTTTAAAAATACGAAATTATTTTTATACATTTATTTTGGTTAAATATTCCTTCATAACGAATTATAATTGTATTTATCATTTATTAAGGAGAATAAAATATAATTTTTATTTTATTCTTTACGTATTGCATATAAATTTTTAAAAATTTCGATGAGATTATTTAAAAATTTAAATAAACCAATCGTTGTTAAGATAATCAATTTCTAAGCCAATAAATGTTCGATTCTTTTTATAATTAACATCTTGCATATTACGCAGAGAACTACATATTTATAATAATATTAATTTTAATTGAATTTTGCTTTTCAAATCGATTAATTTACAGTAAATTTTAAAACGTGATATTATAAATTATTTTTTAGTTATTTCGTGTATTTTACAACATATTGCTAAAAATTCGTAACTGTTACGTTATCCTCATCTCTTATTCAGGATTACAAGTCACATATTTTATTTCTTTAATTTGCATACGCCTGGGTTATGTACAATAATTTTTTTAAGCATGGATCTATAAAATTCCTGATTTGAATAATAGAGATAATGATCACCATTTTAGTAGGACGATTTCTAATTGGTTGCAGCTATCTCTAAACGGTGTTCTTTCGTATCTGAAACCTATAACAAATAGCTATACAAAAGTCTATCAATTCAGGACTAAGGAAGTTTATCAACAAAATGCTTGACAATTAAAGTGATTGATAGTATTTGACATTGTTCAACAATCGTATTGAAGCTTTAGGAAAAAATTATCTTCGAAGATTATCTACTAATACACAAATGTTAGTTGAAAATGCAATAAAATCGAATAAGTTCCCATAAAAAAACAATAAAAACTAAGAAACATTTTCGAGTTACACTCTGTATTATGTGCTATAACTATTATAATTGGATATAATTTATTACACGTAATTAATTTTAATTACAAATATAATAAATATATATTCATTCATGTATATATTAATATTATAATATGTAATCTAAATCGCAAGCTGAATGACCCCATTGAGGGTCAGACCTAAATAAAATGGATATAATTGCGGTTAACCACATAATTTTTGTGTTGGGGTTATAAAAATCAAACCAAACCATTCTTTTTTCCGAATGAAGAGTCTTTAACAAGAAAAAGGAGATAACTTTTATTTATTGTCTCTGTTCATTTTTGGAGAGATTATTTTTAAAGACTTGATGTAGGATTTAGAGGAGTTAACCAAAGATAAAACCAAAATTATAAAGGTTTATTTTTTTCTAACATGAAGATTCTTTGTTTTGGTACTTTTTTTTGCATTGTTACTAGCAATAATATTCCTACGCACAAGATTGGATTTAAACATTAACTACACTTTAAGGTCTCAGATATTACAGCTTAGAACCTCACGCTTTTAAATTTAATTATTATTTGGTAAAGGGAAGAACCTTTTTTTAACGTCATAGCTCATGGCTACAAATCTAAATGAGGTCCTGCTTAAACATAAGATTCTTATGATATGGGTTGAAGGTGAAATACAAGAACTGAAACTTCACAGACTAATTTTAATATCGTAAACTAACAATAATTCGTTTTCTGTGAACTTAAATTCCTTTTTCAAAGGTAAATTATATATAACACAACACTGTACTGTAGCAAACTTTTCATAAATTTACATTTAATTTTAATTTAATATTTATAACCACCTTCAACGCTTATTAATGCATAAAATTTTTAAATAAATCTTAAAGAAATTTTATATTATCTGTATAAACCTAAGGTGCCATTGTAAATTCATTATCATTGTAATCAGTTGAATATTTTTATTAAATCTTAATTAATTTATACACTCTTAATTAATTTTTAATACTTATAAATTAATTATTTACAAATTAACTTATATGTTATCTAATGCCTAGAAATTAACTTGTGATCATTAACTTATTAAAAATTAGTATTTGTATAGAATGATCTAAAAGTTTTTAATCAATGAATATTTTTTAATGGTTTATTAACATTAATTGCTGAAAAATATGTATTAAATTCATTAATGTATAATTAATTTTATAAAATTAACAAAAGAATTTATGTACAAATCAATAGTTTTGTCTGTCTGTTACGCTGTTATAGTTTTTAAAAAAGTGTATTCGGTTTACAAAATTATAATTGATGACAATTCATCTCTAAATGTAAATATATTAAGAAAACGTATTCATGATAATCGCTCATCCATTTTAATGGCTTTGCGACGCGACGAGACGAGACGACGTGCGCCGTCGCGCGAAAATCTGAAAAATTTAATTATTAATATATTATTTACAGATTATAATATTTAATATTCTGTATAAACAAAAAAAATCTAATTCTTCTGTATTTCCATTCTTATTGTATTTATATTATTCTATTAAATCACACGCGTTTCTTCGCGTCGCGTCGCGCAAGTACGCGCCGCGACATAACGTTACTTATAAGCATTATAAGAAAAAAATGAAATGATAGCGTAAAAATATTATAGTAAATACTTATATTACTGTATAAATGAAAGACTAGATAAATTTATCTTCGATTTAAGACAATTTCAATAATAAAAATGCTTAAAATAGTGTCACAATTTTTTAACTTCTCTCTTAAAATTGGAATTTTGAACTTCTCAAAATAGCAAGTTCCATAAATGATTTATGTAGCCATTAAGATCATCGGTAAATTACTACACAGCGAACACTTCTAACTAGTTTAAAGGGCATTATTACTTCAATCAACATTATCCATTTGACTGTACACCTGACAAGAGTAAGTATAACATGGATACTTGATGTTATCTCTTGACAGTTATCTGAATTTAATCAATAATTGATAACTTCTGTTTGAATTTATGTAGAGAATTATCCCATTTTCTACTATAAAATTTTTACTGTCATGAAAATATATAAAAAATAATAGTTTTGCATACTTTAAAATTCTTCTGTATCCATTTCCATCTTTTATACTTCAAATTTTTAAATTTTTGAGGGGATTTACTGAAATTTTTATATGAACAAGGCCTCCATTTTTCTTCTATATCAACAATATCAATCCCTCTTTTTTCTGCGTCTTTTGATAGCTCCTATTTAAGAAGAAAGCTATTAAAAGTGTTTTAAAACTCATCGTTTTCCACATAATTCACAACGTCGCTTTTTGCTGTCTGTCTTTTACGCTATATAACTGTTTAACGTTTAAAAAAATACGGTTATAAATGTTTTCTTTTGATTATTCTGACGTTCCTAGAGCGCCTTAATCTTTCCTGTAATAGGAAAAAGTATAACTACTGTGTTGTTATTAAAATAAGCGTGTAAACGATAGCGACGCGCTCTTGTCGCGTCCGTTCGCGTCGCTTCCACAATAAATAAAAACCAAAATATTTCGATTAATTTTACTTATAAATATTAAGTAAAATTTTACTTTTCGAGCACNTTTTATATTTATTAACATTTTAAAAATATTTTACATATTTCTTTTCAATCGTACACTGTACAAATGAAATTTTAAACGTGGCCACGATATTTAAAATGCAATTTATAATCTTCTAAAATTGCTTTAAATACTTCTTTATTCCCATGTTTAAGAGTTTTTTGTAATGTATTTAAGAAATTCACATCGCACATTTCTATCAACTTGTTTATGCCACGAATTAAATGAGTTTTAATTGATGGGAAAAGGGTTACTTTAGCTACTTCGTTAACGTAGGTTGCAATAACGCTAGACACTAATTTTGAAAATTCCATCTTGTGTTCAGAAATTAATATTAGTAGTTTACATAATTTTTGTGCGCAGAATTCACATTTTTCTTGTAAATAATTGTCATATTTAGCAACTAATTCTTGATTGCTCGCTTGAACTTGGCACGCAACAATATGACAGATGTAGGAAATAAATATAGATGCACTACATAGAGCTGAATTTTGTTGTTGTATCATAATTTCATTTAGAATATTATAAATGCCATCAAATGCATTTATGTAAAGTTGAGATTTTTCAGTTAACTGCTCTAGAGGAATTGCCATACAACATTCCAGACATAAGAGAACGCACTGATGAGTAAGAAAACCTTTTCCTTTATGCAAAATTAAACAAAAAAATTTTAAAATTGGCATTGATAAGTCTACAAAAATAGAATCTTCTGAAATGTATTTCATTTGGTACATTAGATTATGTAATTTAACAATTAAATTACAAATGGGTGATTGCAAACATCTCAAACGAGATAATTCCTTTGAGGAATTTATAAGAATTTCCCATATTTTTAAAAACATAAAGATGGACGATTCAAAATTTTCAATGCTTACAGTATCGATCATAAAAGTTAAATCTCGAACTATGTTTGCATGTTCCTCTTCCGAGCAGCAGTCAAAGAGTTTCGGCAAGATGTTTAATTCTTTTGACAAAGATAATTCTCTATTTGAAATTTCTCTCTCATCAAAACCAGAAAAGCTTTTACAATTAGTAGAATTTTCATTCTGAATTTTATCTATTGCATTTACAACTAAACCAAAATGACTTTTCTCCATTTCTTCTTCAAAATTTATTGTTTGTACTTTTGTATCTTTATCAATATGTTTAATTAAAAATTTACTATTATTAAATATCTTATTAATTAAAAGAAACCACAATGTTTCTATAAAATTTTCTGGAATGTTGTTTTTGAGAATTTCTTTGTACTTACAAATAGCTATGAACAATTCCGAACTATAATAATGCAATGCATCTTCTCGTATAAAACCAGCAAATACATATTCTAATATATGTTTTAAATTAAGATTTTCTATTTCTTTATCTTTGTCAGAACATTCAAAATTAATTATTTCAACATAACAATTAACAATTAAAGGTTCTGTTTTTATATCAAAATTATTCAAATATTTTTTCAGTCGCTTTATCAGCAGATTTGCTATTTCTTGGCACGTTTTGTCAAATGATTCTTTCACATGCTCTCTATGTTTTGAATTATTAATCTTTGAAAGTAATGCTACTGCAAAAGTAAGGAATCCTTTGTCACAATTGCTTTTTCCTAAATCTTTCTTCTCCTGAATGAAAATTATAATTCTAGAGAAAGTCTCAATGTTTTTCATTGCCAGTAAGATAAAAGAATTCATTAATTGCTCCAAGAGTTTTAATGTTTCATTTTGAACAGAAAAGTTTTTATCCTGTTTCATTTTGTAAACATAATTTGTCAGTTTAATAGACATTTTTAACAATAAAACTATATCAACAAAAGACAACAACCAGACACTGCGCGTACCATCCATAATGGACAAAATTATTCTACAAACTTCAATTATAACATTGCAAGACAACAAATTATCTTCATTCTGGGTTTCATTTATGTATGTCAAGAAAGTTAACACTCCTAAAATGCAATTCATTTGATTTCCTGGATGTAAGTATTCTAATGGTAAATAGTTTAACATCTTTAAGAATTCAAACAAATTTCTTAATTGTATTGTCACATCTTCACTCGAATTAATGATCCTGACAAAAATTTCAGAAGTATCCTTAATATCAATCCACAGTTTGTTTAAAGGTTCATTTAATCTACATTTTGGAGTGGTATTTTTAAATTTCATTAATACTCGAGGTGAAGAACTTAAGAAAGAAAGAACGTCTCGTCTACTATCAGTTACATCTTCATTTAATTTCCGCTTCCTGGTATCAAAACTATGCAAAGCTAACTTCCAAATTTCTGATAAAAAAGCAGAATGAAAATTTGGTGTTTCTGCAAAATACAAGCTCCTTAAAAATTCATTTATAACTCCTTCTAAAGTAATGTTTGCATTGGAAATATTTCTTTGTTCAGAATCCTTCAAAACATGTATAAAATTTGAAGATAGAAATAAAAATTGCTTTGGTTTAAAAAATCGGATAAAACATGGTAAGTATTTTAAAAAAGAATACCACAATGCTGTAGAATATGTTTCAGAGGTAATGTGAGCTGATTCTCCATTCCAAACTGCACATACAGAGCTATCACATGATTTTAACATCTTAAATATATATTTTAATAATTCTTTAATCACTGCCATTTCTTCATCTGATTCAATTTTTAAATTACTTACTAAAAATCGAGACTTTTGCAAAAGTAATAAAAAAATGAAATATTGTACTTTTATATCTTTGGCATCTTCAAAATTTGAAAGGATTTTAATCCACTCATCTGAAGAAAAGTAATAGTGAATGGCATTTAAATCAAATAAATGTTCACATGTAGTAGTTGTAGAGTTGAAATGATAAGATCTAACATATTGTTTCATTGATAAATGAATCTCTCCCCAAGCATAACACAAAGTAAGCATAGAATATCCTATCTCATTTTCTAAATTCTTTGAAATGCAAATTTTAGAGAATTTTTTAATACAATCAATAACATTTTCTAGGACATTTTGATTTTTTTGAGCTTGAGAATGATCCCTATTTATTTTATAATGCAAAAGAAATATTCTTAATATTTCAATTATTATATTTAAACTTTTAAATGCAGTTTCATTTTTCTTTTTTTGTATAATTTCTAACAACTTTAAACTGTTATCTATACAAATTTTCCATATATCTAGAATTTGTCCATCAGGAAGATACATTACTTGGCTTGACAGATTTCGTAAAAACTGAACTAGAAAAATAAAATCATTTTTTGACAAAATATCTTCTAATGAAGTAAACAGTGTAGAAAATAACTCTGGAAGCTTGCGTAATTTTATGAATTTGGCCAATACATTGCACATGACTTCATCAGTGATGGATTCCACCTTAAATTCTTCTAATAATTGGCACTGCATCTTGTTAAAACTTCATTTATGAATTTGACTTTAGAAAATTAACTTTGAGCTTTTGAAGCAGATGAAATTATTGAATCTGTAATTTAAAAATTCATTAAAAAATAATCAAAATATGGTGTTTATTACTATTAGATTGTTTCTAAGACTCTAAACATACAGGATTCATGGTAAAGTCCTTATACACTGACTCATGTGAGTAATGTACATATGATTCTCAATAATGAATGTAGCACAAAGACAGAAAAATGAGAAATACACATTATAAACAAACACATGAAAAATGAATAAGAACACATAAATGAACACATGAGAAATACACATTTTACTGTATGTGCTTGATGTCACATTTGCATTTCACTTTCTATTCAAAGCTATTCATGTATGCAAGGTGTCATTTCTTATTAAATCCGTCATTCTCTACTACTTTGTAATTTACTTTTTTCTGTATCATGCATTGTTTTTGAGATAGGAGCATTAACTTCCAAATTTTACTGCTAGAAGCATTGCAAGTGGTCTCATCTTTTAGTGCATGATCACTTTACTGCAGCTATGCATCACATTCATAACTGTCTATGTTCATCAGTTACATGAGTGTAAAAGGACTTTACTATGAATTAATGTACATAGGAAATGAATGCCGAAATAGATCACTATATAAATATTTAATTACAATAAATATTACAGAATATATTATAATTAGGTTCACTTCAAGATACATTTAATAAGAAAGCTCCTCAAATGGAAATCCAACTCAAAACTGCTTTCTTGGAATGAAAATCTTTTCAGAAAACTCAAGCACTTTTAGGCTAAGTGTTTATTATCAAGTGTTATTGGAGACTAACTTATTAAAAATGAAAAGCATAAATCACACGATTTAATTTAAGTTTTAAAAATATATTACCTGTATATAAATTTGATAAAGATAACAAATCTTGTAGGAATACAACACAAGTTATTTTGTACTTTGATTTAAGCAATAAATATGCTATACATTTAAAGATTTTATATTCATGTTTTTAAATTTGCAATAGCTTATTAATGTATATACTGTAATTATTCTAATAAACAGTCCCCAGAAAGTGCCTAAAATCATGAGGAAGAAATAAAATAAAATAAACAAATTGATATACAACATATAATTAACTGATAACTTAAATTTTCTAAATTGATAGCAACATAATATAATAAATCACCAAACGATCGCCTTAATATCAGGCTATAATATGGCTAATTAAATGATTAGTATAAAGTAATTTGACATTAGAGGTTAGGCGCCATTGAGTTATTATTATTTATAAACATAATATATAAATCCCAGAAAGATTATAATGTAAATGAAAAATTTTTTTAAGCACTTTTATCAAACTTACTTCTTATGTCCTCAAATCTTACAATTCAAGTTTCACCCATTTCTAAATCAAAGGCTGAAACTTTGGAAGACATACCTAAGTCTGATGACAATTATTTTTTATATTATTTTAGAGGGGGCCCTATCTCAGTGGCGTGCCATCCTTGGAAGCAGTGGAAGCACCACTTTCCTTGTATTTTCTAAAATATAAATACATATGGTGTGATTATTTTCATATTTTAACATACTTTGAATTAATTAAAATTAATATTTTATTATAACCACATTATGTATCTAATTACAAATTTCTATACTACATGTGAAAAAAATGATAAGATTGCTATTGTATATTTGAATATCAGTGGCACTGCATTGTCAAATATGGGATAGCTTCCACATTGAAAATATCTGAATGGTGTAAAGCAGCTAGATTATACGCATTTGCACATGCACTTTACAGAGCACCAACCTCACATGGTTTAGCTGGTGGATGCTACACACCGAAATATCATATAATGCTTCCAATGATTCTATCCAGGACCGGTTCTGGGCCATTAGCCGCCTGCCCGCTAGATATTTGACCGCCCTCACCCTATTATGTGAATCGTGAGTAGATTTATAACTTAACCCAACCGACAGGAATTTACTGGTACGTTTTTATGATAGTTCTGTATAGTTGACAGGAGTTTAAAAAAATCCATTAAAATATTTGATATATTTATTCTGCTTTTATTCTGCTCACCCATCTTGTACTACTTACAAATTTCAATGTTAAATTAGTGATATTACAATTTAGTATGTCCCATCTTTACGGGGATGCAGAAATAAACATGTACAATTCTTGTACAATGTTAAAAAATTAACTGTTACTTTGGCAGCATCATTTACAACTAAATTTAATGAATGAGATGCACAAGGTACAAAAAAAGCTCTAGAATTTATTTTCCTTAAATTTACAATTTATGTATCCCTTGCCATAAAAATTTGTCTTTCCACTTCTTTCCTAAGACTACACAAAGTACAAAGTAACCAGTTTCAACTTATTTTTACTTAAGAAGTAGTTAAATAATTAAGAGATTAGGGAATTAGGTACATAAATAAAACCCTGCTGAAAGAGCCTGAATTTTACTTAAACAACTGAACTGAACCAATCTCTACAGTGGAGACTGATTTCTTCATAATATTAGATGTAATAAAGACAGAAATTTTTCCAGTTCAACGAGAGTGACCGAAAAGTTGTAAATTTTGGAAATTTCCATGGACACCTGGTCCTAAAACAAATGACAGACAATCTATTAAGTTTAACATATTTAGATTTTTATAGCTATGGTGAGAAACATTTAAAATTTATGGCAACCCTGTTGTTTCCTTTGAAGTATACTAGTGATGCAACAAAAGAAGCATTTGGCATTGACCAGTATTAGCAACCTTGGGATTTGGCAGCCCATGTGCTCTGATTCCATCCATTAGCCACTGGTAGGGAGCTATTTGACTAAAGTGAATTGTTTTAAGATTTAAAAAGTAAATAAGATTTTATGTTATTTTTATGTACATTTGTTTACAAAGCTATATTTGATTACAATTTTCTTTAAAAGTATATTCATACAATTGAAGAATATTTTATACCAGGTATATATATCCACCATACATTTTATTTCACCAAGTAAGTTTTTATAATTTTATTTTTAATTTTAGCCCTTATATCATTGCTAGTGATTCGGAATGTAATTGTGATATTAAAAATACATTTACAGAAGTCTACGGTTTTTACTGGCTTATCAAACAAATATGAATGGGCCCTAGACCATCGTTGACGCGCAATTAACTGATTGCCTCTGGAAGTTGGCTTCTTACAGAAACACAACTTCCCTATCATCAAATGTCACGGCACGCCACTGTCCCACCTACACCATCCTCCCTACTTTTAAACCTGATAATCATAATCAAATGCAGAATTCAATTGTGATATATTGTGATGTATGAGCCTCCCCAATCTTGAAAAATATGGCCAATAAGTGTTATTTTTTTTTTAATTTTTAAAAATATATTAAAAGTTTATTTTAAATTTTAATTAACATTTTTGAATATTTAGTCTTTTAATCAGTATAAAAATATAACTAATGGAGATAATTTCTTTTGTAATAAAATAAATGAATAATAATGATCATATAAAAAGAAAATGCATAAAAAATTTAGGGATATAAAATGTCTATAATCAACTTTTAAACTCATTAATATGAAGTAGATATAAGTACTGTACCTATCTATAAGAAGCTTGAAAAATAATTTATACACATTTCTTTGATGCATTTGATGATGCGAAGAAATGTGTGGAAATTACTCTTTGTGATTTGTGAACTCATCAGAGGTAATATATTGCATTTATGTACAAATTACATCTCTAATAGGCAAATAATGAAAACACATATCATTCTAGAGCAATATTATACATCACATAGTATAATATTACTGCAATATAATACATCACATGCAATGACAGTAAATATGTATCTCCAAACCTCCTGGAATATAATGTAAGATTGATTTAACATTTTTTAAAATCAAATAACTTGTTCTGTCCATTCCTTATAAAAGAAACAATATCTGGTAGGGCTAAAACATTATTTATACACTACAGAACTAAAACACATTATTACATTACAAAATTTACCTTTTAATCCGTAAATAAATATACATATTTCACTGGAATTTTCCTCCATTTCACTCTTGAGAAATCTTGACATTCCTAATATTGGAAAATATAAATTTAATTCTTTTTAAACATATTTATTACAGCATAAATTCATATACAGTATAGAATTTAGATTACAATTTGAAATTTATGTATACTCTATAATAATTCTTCTATAGTAAAATACAAGTAGTTGTTTATAAACTATAAACCAACGTTTTATACATAGAATGTATAAAACGTTGTAAATTTCTGTATATACATGTCTAGCATGTATGTCTCTATTGTAAATAAAATTAAAGAGAGAAACGTTGGTGTATGGCTTATAAACAATTACCAAAATGCATATTAAGCAATAAATAAATATAACTTTATTCAATATAATAATTAAAATACTTTGATTTAAATTTTCATATTACCTCCATCGAAGAAAATAAAAACCACGTGGAAATTATGCAATTAAGTGTTGCCAGCTACATTAAAAAAATTATTTTTCTATTATACATGGAATAAATTTTACGGATATATTCATTTTTATATTTTAGATAAAATGTAAATGAATAAATATAATCATAATACAAATAAATAATCAAGTTTTTCCACAAGCATTTTTTCATTTTTTTACTCTTCATTCTGCGAGCACTGGGAAGACTTTTTTCTATGCTCATTATGAGTTTAACCAAGCCCCAATAGATGATGAAAGTTTCATATACCCGGACCAAACCATCTATGAAAACGTCCAAGAATTAGACCCTAACTCGAACTTGCATGCAAAGATTTTATCGCTGTCGGTCAGCTGTTGCTTTAATTTGGACCTACGATGGACCAATTATATAATCAAACTTATAATAAACATGAAAAAAGATTTCTTATTGTTCTCAGGACTGAAAAAGTTTTAAAAATATGGCTATGTGAAAAGATATATTGCTTCCAGTGGAAAGTACAGTACTTAAGTGTTTTTTCCTTGAGAAAAGACACAAATTCGATTCGGTTTTTTTCCCGATATTCTTAATAGTTCCAAAATGAAAATGGAATATATATAGAATAATTAAAATATAACACTTATCGTTATATCTCATTATGAAATATTAAAAATAATTTTTTTAAATTTTACGACATTTGAAATCGAATGAATCATCGAATGAATTAAATGTTTTATCTAATTAATTTGATGGAAACGTCAAGACAGAAATGGAAAATACACGTATAAATGATGTATAACGGAATAAAAGTATAGACATAATTATGGTTATTAAATTGAGGAATCCAAACTAAGGACACCCCAACCAATTCGGTGCGAAGATTTCAGCATAAAGTCCTAAAAAGTTTTTTAATGACAATTACAATAATACACTGAGGAACCTTTACTTTTGGAAGCCTGTAACTTAATAAATTATATTCAGCTAGTTCTGTTTAAAATACGTTTTGGAGTACGGTATTAACAAAATGTCTAGTAGCAGGGAATGGAAAAACATAAAATGGCTTACAGAAAGAAAAGGCCATTTGCACCTTTTACAGTAATAATTTTTGAGTCCGTGTATATTTATTACTAGATTAATTTTTTCTAAATAAATTGTGTATCTAGTAAACAATTTTTTTGATGAAACACGTCCACCACTAGCGAATGAATAAAACCACTCAACGTTGGTTGTTGGTTGCGTGTTTGCGCCTCACCAATGGGCTGGCCATGTGGAGTTTTCCGATTTTCTCCCCGTTTATAACAGCTAAATATAAAACAGTTTCGCAATGAAAATCCTTCAGGAAGGCACTCCCCCTTGGCAGATCTCTCACATGTTGCGTCGCTTTATCTTTTACTCCACTTCCACTCCAAAACAAAATCATTTCAAATTAAGCGCCTTAATTAAAAGGGCCTCTTTTTAGCGAGTCCATTATGGGTTCGGCCAAGCCCGCAGTGAGGCGGCTGGGTGGTAAAGAAAAGGTCCGAAATATCCGAATCCCCCGAAAAATTCCCGCGGTTTTTCAACCCGACCGAATTCTATTCCGGTTCCTCACAGCGGCAGACTATCACCTTAACACTCGGCCATCCGTTAACACTCGGCCATCCGGTCGTCGAATTCACACATAAATCGAAAACATAATTATTCTGTATATTAAATTTTCTACATAAAAAATATACTCATAAATCACAAAAATAACTTAAGAGNCAGTATAAAAATATAACTAATGGAGATAATTTCTTTTGTAATAAAATAAATGAATAATAATGATCATATAAAAAGAAAATGCATAAAAAATTTAGGGATATAAAATGTCTATAATCAACTTTTAAACTCATTAATATGAAGTAGATATAAGTACTGTACCTATCTATAAGAAGCTTGAAAAATAATTTATACACATTTCTTTGATGCATTTGATGATGCGAAGAAATGTGTGGAAATTACTCTTTGTGATTTGTGAACTCATCAGAGGTAATATATTGCATTTATGTACAAATTACATCTCTAATAGGCAAATAATGAAAACACATATCATTCTAGAGCAATATTATACATCACATAGTATAATATTACTGCAATATAATACATCACATGCAATGACAGTAAATATGTATCTCCAAACCTCCTGGAATATAATGTAAGATTGATTTAACATTTTTTTAAATCAAATAACTTGTTCTGTCCATTCCTTATAAAAGAAACAATATCTGGTAGGGCTAAAACATTATTTATACACTACAGAACTAAAACACATTATTACATTACAAAATTTACCTTTTAATCCGTAAATAAATATACATATTTCACTGGAATTTTCCTCCATTTCACTCTTGAGAAATCTTGACATTCCTAATATTGGAAAATATAAATTTAATTCTTTTTAAACATATTTATTACAGCATAAATTCATATACAGTATAGAATTTAGATTACAATTTGAAATTTATGTATACTCTATAATAATTCTTCTATAGTAAAATACAAGTAGTTGTTTATAAACTATAAACCAACGTTTTATACATAGAATGTATAAAACGTTGTAAATTTCTGTATATACATGTCTAGCATGTATGTCTCTATTGTAAATAAAATTAAAGAGAGAAACGTTGGTGTATGGCTTATAAACAATTACCAAAATGCATATTAAGCAATAAATAAATATAACTTTATTCAATATAATAATTAAAATACTTTGATTTAAATTTTCATATTACCTCCATCGAAGAAAATAAAAACCACGTGGAAATTATGCAATTAAGTGTTGCCAGCTACATTAAAAAAATTATTTTTCTATTATACATGGAATAAATTTTACGGATATATTCATTTTTATATTTTAGATAAAATGTAAATGAATAAATATAATCATAATACAAATAAATAATCAAGTTTTTCCACAAGCATTTTTTCATTTTTTTACTCTTCATTCTGCAAGCACTGGGAAGACTTTTTTCTATGCTCATTATGAGTTTAACCAAGCCCCAATAGATGATGAAAGTTTCATATACCCGGACCAAACCATCTATGAAAACGTCCAAGAATTAGACCCTAACTCGAACTTGCATGCAAAGATTTTATCGCTGTCGGTCAGCTGTTGCTTTAATTTGGACCTACGATGGACCAATTATATAATCAAACTTATAATAAACATGAAAAAAGATTTCTTATTGTTCTCAGGACTGAAAAAGTTTTAAAAATATGGCTATGTGAAAAGATATATTGCTTCCAGTGGAAAGTACAGTACTTAAGTGTTTTTTCCTTGAGAAAAGACACAAATTCGATTCGGTTTTTTTCCCGATATTCTTAATAGTTCCAAAATGAAAATGGAATATATATAGAATAATTAAAATATAACACTTATCGTTATATCTCATTATGAAATATTAAAAATAATTTTTTTAAATTTTACGACATTTGAAATCGAATGAATCATCGAATGAATTAAATGTTTTATCTAATTAATTTGATGGAAACGTCAAGACAGAAATGGAAAATACACGTATAAATGATGTATAACGGAATAAAAGTATAGACATAATTATGGTTATTAAATTGAGGAATCCAAACTAAGGACACCCCAACCAATTCGGTGCGAAGATTTCAGCATAAAGTCCTAAAAAGTTTTTTAATGACAATTACAATAATACACTGAGGAACCTTTACTTTTGGAAGCCTGTAACTTAACAAATTATATTCAGCTAGTTCTGTTTAAAATACGTTTTGGAGTACGGTATTAACAAAATGTCTAGTAGCAGGGAATGGAAAAACATAAAATGGCTTACAGAAAGAAAAGGCCATTTGCACCTTTTACAGTAATAATTTTTGAGTCCGTGTATATTTATTACTAGATTAATTTTTTCTAAATAAATTGTGTATCTAGTAAACAATTTTTTTGATGAAACACGTCCACCACTAGCGAATGAATAAAACCACTCAACGTTGGTTGTTGGTTGCGTGTTTGCGCCTCACCAATGGGCTGGCCATGTGGAGTTTTCCGATTTTCTCCCCGTTTATAACAGCTAAATATAAAACAGTTTCGCAATGAAAATCCTTCAGGAAGGCACTCCCCCTTGGCAGATCTCTCACATGTTGCGTCGCTTTATCTTTTACTCCACTTCCACTCCAAAACAAAATCATTTCAAATTAAGCGCCTTAATTAAAAGGGCCTCTTTTTAGCGAGTCCATTATGGGTTCGGCCAAGCCCGCAGTGAGGCGGCTGGGTGGTAAAGAAAAGGTCCGAAATATCCGAATCCCCCGAAAAATTCCCGCGGTTTTTCAACCCGACCGAATTCTATTCCGGTTCCTCACAGCGGCAGACTATCACCTTAACACTCGGCCATCCGGTCGTCGAATTCACACATAAATCGAAAACATAATTATTCTGTATATTAAATTTTCTACATAAAAAATATACTCATAAATCACAAAAATAACTTAAGAGGCGTTAAATTTTACGAAAATAATATTAAAAAAAAAACAAAAATAATAATAATTTTTGATCTTAAACTTAAATCCCGATAGAGGGGGGATCATTTCTGTTTAATCGATTTGACGTAAGACACAATGGAATGGCGTCAACTTGTATTATAGGAAAAGACCACTTTCAATTTCACCGAAATTGCATAAAATCATTATTTTATAGTCAGTATTTTATTTGCATTTCTTAAATTAAATGAAATATAATAATAATAAAAAGAATTTTATGTTATAATATGTATAAAAGAAAGTTATTTTGAAAGTTGTTTTCCATTGCTGTTCTCAGCTCAGCAACAGTTTTCAGGTGAGATATAAAAGATTAAGGAATAAGAATTATTTATAAACAATATTTGATTTAATTTTAACTTCTATAAACTCCCTGAAGTTTAAGTATTAAAAATAATAATAAACTTTGATTTAATTTTAAGTTCTTTGTGTATTTATGTGTACAAATTACTTAAAATTAACTTCTACTTACCTTTGACCTTTAGGAATTTAAGGAAATATCTATGATAAAATGGCTCTTTAAACAATTGCTGTCATCTATACCTATGGTGGCCAAATTTTAGCTTTTTTCGACACTTATTTTTGGCTCTTGTATACATTATTATACAGGAGCTGCAGTAAACAGTTGAACACTTTCTACAGCTTCTTTATTCCTTGGACAAGTTCTATGTATTTATTACTTTTACTAATTGAGATAATTTGTATTTTTTGGATTTATCATTTGAACTCTTTTTCAATAAGTGTAAATAACTTGCAATCAAAGAAAGGAAGTTAAATAGAAATTGTTAAAACTTATCATAATATTTTCCAATTTTTTAATACTATTTTAGAAATAATTAAAATATTCTCATACAAGTCGACCCCCCTATAATACTGTTGATAATTCCGTTTTATATGAATTCCATGTTGTACGAGTCACTTAGATTTTGCAAATACGTGAGCCGTTCACAGCCCGGCACAAGTATTTGTAAAATCTAAGTGACTCGTACAACATGGAATTCGTATAATGCGGAATTATCTACGGTGTTATGGGGGGTCGACTGTATACATAACTACACAGCACACTGGGATGAATATAAAATAAGACTCACTGTTAGTCTTATTTTATATTCTCATATTCTATGATTTTAAAACATTTAGTTTAATTAATGTAAATTATAATAATATATTTTCCAAATCTATCTTTCTGTTGTTTTTTTTTTATACAAATTATAATATTTAACTGTATTATTTCAATGACTGAAATATTTTTCCTTACAATATATTTTATGAAAATTTTTTGTATTATCTCTTTGTAGAATACTGCTTTAAGTAAATGATTGATATTCTTTTGTTTAAGAGATATTTTTTAAGTAATGGGATGTTTAAATTGTGTTATATGTATAGAAAAGCATCGATTATCCAAATTACTAGGGATTGAAGAATTTTGGATAAGTGATTATACTTGGTAGAAAAAGAATAAAAAGATAAATATCTTAAATAAACCAAAATATTAATTTTAATTCTAGTACAATAGTAAAAGTTAAAAAAAACGCAAGGCATAAAAATTTAATACATACAAATGGTAAATAACAAAAAATACTATCTTATTAAAAACAAACACTAGTGTTTCATTGCAGTCTTCAATGGACTGATGAAACTTTAAATTCAAAGTAAAAATACATAATAATAATAGAAATAATAATAATAATAAAGTAAATACTTTTTTTTAAAGAAGTCACTTAATAATCTTAATAATCTAGTGTTTTTTCTTTTTAATTCTTAAATTCCCAGCTTGCTTAATTGTCTTAGGAGTTCAAAAATCTGCTTCAGATCGTATTTCTAACCCTGTTGGTTCTGTTTCTAATGCATCAAATGCTTCAGTGTGTAGGCACAGTAAAGCATTTGTTGTATTATAAGCCTGTGACTCATTAATCATGCTTTTTTGTTTGTATTGTAATAAATAAAACTAGACACTTTGTGTTGATAACAAGGTAGCCGAATAATGAGCTTATGGAAGATTGCAACAATCATCTTTATGTAATAACTTCAAAGATTACTAATTTCAGAAATTACAAAGTCAGTTTCAGTTAATCGATACTCTACTATAATTAGAAATAATGCCTACAATACATATAATATCTGAAGTGCAAATTTTATTATATAAGCTACTAATCTATCCGAAAGCTTGTTTAAAATTGAATTGAAATTTGCCTTTATTAGAGTAATAATATGCTAAAGATTAAATTCATTTTATTAGGTTAGACATTTTGATTTTCTTTGTACATTTCTTCTGCTGAAAATGTAGTAATGAAATCAAATTAATATAAAAGGCAATCATTGTCATAAAAATACCATTTTAATTTTTCAGGATAAATTTCTCATAACTTAATTCTTTCAATTAAGTAATTATGATACCCAATTTTTTTTTATTGGGCTACAATTTGAAAAAATTGTAGACCTATAAATTCCCACTGTTGTCCATCTGTATGTCTTTCCTTAATCTGGAGAATGGAGTTAGATAGACAAAATCTGAGAACAGATATGGAAACCTTAGGGACAGGAGGTCGCGATTAACCATATATGAACTTCAGATGCAAATAGGAAGTCATGTTATTTCAGTTTGAAAATTTTTCCCTGAAAGGAGTTAGAGGATTGGCATGATTCTATTGTTAAAGGAAAAGTATGATGTACAGGGGCAAGCCATTACTAATTTCAGGTGGAGAACATATATATTAAATTAAATTAATTAAAAATTGCAGCCTAGCATTGTGACAGTGTCACAATAAATAATTGCTTGTCTTTGATTTCTTTCATTAAACTTGTTATATATTCGTTGAGGTTTATATATTTTAAATATTAAGAAAATCAAAAACTTTATTATTACAAGATTATTATTAAAACTGATATTTAATGGAATACAGATAGGCTTTGAAAATAATCTTACTTTTCTAATCAGTGTTGTTTGAAATGATATCTAAAAACATTTCATATAAAAAATATCTCATTTCAAAAATAATTTTGATAACTTGATATTTATTATCTATGAACTATCAGTTTTACATATTGATGATGTAAAGGTGTCACCTTTACATCATCAATGTATAAAACTGACAAATGAGATACAAAAGTAAGTTTTCTCATATGCTTTAAATGTTATCTCTAATTTCAAATTATGTAATCTTCAAATGTTTGTCAAATAAATGATGATAATGTCATATTATTTGTTACTGTGTATTAAATTTACTAAATGTTTTTAAAATGTTACATTAAAAATAAAAAAAGCTTTGATTATGAAAGCTCTGCAGAATTATACTAGTATGAGGAGTAATCAAGTAATTTGTGCACAGGAGTGAAAAACTTACCATAAAATGTCATCTTTTAATCTTGCAGCCATTTGTCTTTCTCAAAATGTTCTCATACTTTCCCTTGAATCTCAGCATTTTTGATCTTCAGCATTATACCCATGCATTAAAAGTGCCTTGGAAGCCATTTTTCAACAACATGCAGTGCTGTTGTTGTTGGATTCAAAATGTTTCCCTTACAAAATTCTTCAAGTGCAGAAAGAAAAAATTGGAAGATGGCTGGGAAGTAAGGCAGATCTGGTAGAATCTTAGAATCTTTGGCAGTGATCACTGGCTATATGATATTAGCCATAATGATAACACATTATGCTGTTGAAAAAGGCTTTCAAGATGCTTTGAATGCATGGGTACAACACTGTGAGGTTTGAGGGAGAGTATTTTGAGAAAGACAAATGACTGGAAGATTCTGAAAATGATATTTAAGATAAATTTTCACTCTTGTTCATAAATTAAATGATCATCTCTTATATATTTGTTTTTCAATGTAAAAATGACATAGTTATTAAATCATTTTAATCATTAATATTTTTTTAGTTGCATTACTTTGATCTAAATTTTTCTTTTGCTGATATTTATATTGTGCATTATTAAAAAACAAGTTTACTATTGAATCTTATTTAGAAGATGCAAACAAATAATATTAGACAAAGTATTATGGTTTGAATCATAAATAAGATCTCTTGTCAGATTTTATTGTATTTTGCATTTCTAGAAGCCAACATAAAAAATGTTCTCTCTGAATATTTGTTTGAAATAATTCTTATATAAAATTTATATATTTTAATTTTTTTAATAATTTATTTTTGTTTCTTTGAAGTCCTTCCAAAGAAAGACCTGGTTATAAGAATTTTGACACTAAGTATTTGTATTTTTAGTATCAAAATTCTTATAACCAATTCTGATTTTAGCTGAATGATAACTCATAATATTAGAAAAAATATGTATGGAAACAAAAAACACACACACACACAACAGAGTAAACTGTTTGATTGCAAAATTTGCTCAAATTTTTGGAAGAAATGTATAGACAATATATAAATCAAAGTTTACTAACAAATGTATAAATATCAGAATTTTTATCACCATAAGCAGATTTTCCAGTAAAAGAAAGACAATTATTTTTAATGTTTTAAAACTTTTAAGTCATAAGAAATATATTTTTTTTATTTTCTCACTCACACACTTTTTTTTCTGTGTGTGTGTAGTTTTAATAAAACTTGTGTAATAATTTTTTTTTTAGGAAGCCACACACTAACTCAAATTATTTCTTTTATGTAGGAAAATGTATTTTGGGTGTTGTTTCTTTTCAGTCTCTCCTACTTTTATTGCCTTAAAATTAATTTAAAAAATAAATACAAAATCACAATGTAAGTGTAAACAATTGTCTTACAATTTTCATTTTCTTTAAGTTTTATTTTGCATTACATTCTGCACAATATTTGTTTTAATGTTTAACTTTTCCTTTCTTTTGTTTTCATATTGCTAAAAATCATTTAAATATAACATTGAGCCAAAAATAATATTTTTAAAAAAATTGACGTACATCTCAATATTTTAATATGTTTTAATCTTTTTATGAAGATCAAGTTTGGTATGGCATTTGTTTGGTGTTTAAATATTTTTTGTGTTACAGTTTTCAATGATGATATAACTTATTGGTTTGGTGTGGTTTATTTGGTTATGGCAATGCAACATGTGGGCAATCTGCCAAGGGGAATGTCTCCCAGGTGGAATTTCTAAGGAAAACTGGCCCCTATTTAGGTGTTAGAAATATGAAGAAAACCCAGAAAACTCTGTGGCCTGCCTGTTGACGAACAGATAACCAACTACTAGTTTCGGTGGTTTTTTTATCCACTCAGCAACTGGTGGGTTCAATAACTTGTTAAAAATAATAGTAAAAATATACCAAAACTCATGAAAATGTTAAGATATAATAAATGTAAAAAATATTTGT